CTTGAATTCAGACCTACCAATAGATAAGTATGTGGCAGCTGTGGCCAGGAGTGCCTTTTATTAGCTTTGGCTGCAGTCACATACACTAAATAATCCACTTTCAATCCTCTTTCAGTGCACTTTCCATCTGGATTTTTACTGTGTGAACTGGCAAAAGTGGATTATTTAGTGTGTGTGACCACAGCCTTTGACTGGTTAGTAGCTGTGGCCTTTCCTAGGCAGAAAAGATCTGGCCACTGGGGTAATATACTGGTTGCATCTGGATTAGATTACCACAGTGTCCTGTACATGGGGCTTCCCTTGAGAACTGTTCAGAAATTTCAATTGGTAAAGAATGATGCAGCCAGGATATTTGACAGGAGTGGCTTATGGGGTCCTATCACTCCAGTCTTGGTGTTTCGACAGTGGCACCCAATCTGTTTCAGACCAGTTATGCTAGAGAAATGGCTGCTTTGAAGGGTGGACTCTATGGCATTGTACTCCTCTGAGCTCCCGCCTGTTATCCTGCCTTACCCAGGCTCCACTCATCAAATCTCTAGGAATTTCCCAACCTAGAGATGGCAACCCTACTTCCAGGCACACAGTCTACGGTCAGCTACAGTCATCTTCCAAGGCTATGCTTTGGGTACCCCCAGCTTCTGTGACTAGGCAGTTGGCAACCTGGGAGATGGATTCATTCGTTGGCATCCAAATACAAGATATTTTTGGAGTGGTGCCAAAGTAATGGAATGGTTTACCAGGATGAGTGCAGAAGGCACCTTTACTCCTTGCCTTCCAGACCATGTGTAAGAGCCAGTTTGGTGTAGTGGTTAAGTGTGTGGACTCTAATCTGTGAGAACCGGGTTTGATTCCCCACTCCTCCACTTGCACCTGCTGATGTGACCTTGGGTCAGTCACAAGCTCTGGCACAGCTGTACCTGAAAGAGCAGCTTGTGTCAGAGTTCTCTCAGCCCCACCCACCTCACAGGGTGTCTGTTGTGGGGAGGGGAAGGGAAAAGGAGTTTGTAAGCCGCTCTGAGACTCCAAGTGAAGGGCGGGGTATAAATCCAATCTCTTCTTCTTCTTCTTCTTCTTCTACAAGAGAACAGATAGAGAAAGATAGAGATGGAGTTGTTGGAGGAAGGTTTGTTCCAGTTCTGTCTTGATGGGCATTATGTTGTGGTAATTTGCTGTACTATTATGTTTTATGTTCTTATGACCACTTGTTATTGCTTATGTAACAGGAGAAATGTGGAGCATAAATGTTTTAAATAAATAAATAAGTTATTGAGGTGCTACAGGATGCATTGTAATACTGGCTGCAGAAGGCTAACTCTGAAATCTGTCATTATTATATTGTATAATTGCATATCTATAATGTATAATTGTATAGTGGAGCCAGTTCGGTGTAGTGGTTAAGTGCGCAGACTCTAATCTGGGAGAACCGGGTTTGATTCCCCACTCCTCCACTTGCACCTGGCTGGATGACCTTGGGCAAGCCATAGTTCTGGCACAGCTGTTCTTGAAAAAGAGCAGTTTCTGTCAGAGCTCTTTCAGCCCCACCTACCTCACAGGGTGTCTGTTGTGGGGAGGGGAGGGGAAGGGAAAGGAGATTGTAAGCCGCTCTGAGACTCATTTGGGCAGTGAAGGATGGAGTATAAATCCAATCTCTTCTTCTTCCTCTATGTTGACAGGCTGTTACTTGTCCCTATGTCTGTGTCACCAGCCCACCAGGATGTTGACAGTTGATGGGAAGATTAATCAGGGAGGTCTCAGAAAGGTTACTCATACTGATTGTATGCAATAGCCTGCTCATTTTGCCAAACAACTTGTGAATTGTTTCCCCAGTACTTCTAAACTGGTCATGAAAAGCCACCTGACCAGGTGAAGGTATAACCCTGCCTCACCCGTTTCCTAGTGGAATTAGGATACTGAGTTTCAAATAATTTTAAAGAGAAAATAGATATTGTCCTGATCCACAGTACAGCCAAACTTGTGGAGTGGGGAAGGGAGGGGCAGAGGCTGGGTCCTGGTGGCCATCACAAGGTATCGATTGTTAGAGAGCATAACTAGCTAACGGATTTATTTATATTTTGTTTCCTTTGTGCCTTTGTGGTTTAGTCTGAGTCCTTCTGACAGTCAGTCTGTGTTTATTCCACACACACACACACACACCTCAAGTGAGTCAGGCCCTACCAAGGTTAAACACCTGCGTAAGAATGGATGGCCAGCATTGTGCCAAATGATAGAATTCTGGGCAAATGCAAGAACTTTGATGGCAAAATCACTTCTAGGTCACACCCAGCCCCCCGCCCATAAGGTGAGTCTCCCACAAGTTGCCAGCCTCAGGTAACAATCATCCAGCTCCTCTTGCTTTTAGTCTCCTAAAAGATCTTAGCACCACTTTTGCATCTCCCTCTTTCTCCATTTTGCCACAAGAGAGAACTATTTCTTTTGCAAGAGCAAACCTAACAGCTGCCATCTCCCCTTTCACAATCCTGCTAAATGTGGACCAAATTTGCCTTGATGTGGTTTACAGAGACCAGCCTGAATTTATTTAAAATGAAAAAGAAATGTAATAAGAAAATTAAAAGCACACACAGCAGACTGAGCAAATTATATATTTTAAACGCATCTGTCTGTCCCTGGGTCTAAAACTTATCCCTGTATTGTTAAAGGGACAGGCAGAAATAACAGTTCCAGGCTTTCTTGTTTAGACTAAGGTCATCCCAGGCCCTGGTCACACGGGAGGATTTGCCCCGTGAAATGGACGGATTAAGGGTGCATCAAACGGGTGCAATCATACGGCAACATCTGGGAAGCGTAGCACACCCATCTCCAACCCATACTGTCGCCCCAAAGAAGCTGATTTAAAAGGCATTGGGGAAAAGGTAGTAGCTTCCGGTAAATGTGCGGCACGGGCGGGCATCTGATTGGAGACGCACCAGTAGCCCGTGGGATCCAGCAGCCGTCTGCGACCTGTGCATGTGCAGTAACGCAGTACTACCGTGTTGCCTTGCTGGGACTACACTGTTGCCTCCCTGGTGTGATCAGCTGCTGATGGCCTGAGGAAAGAGCTGTGGGGGACCGTAAGATCGTGCTCCCACACTTCTTTTAGCTCTGACTCTAAAATGCCTCCCTTCCAGTGCGGATTTTCCCGCTCGTGTGATCAGAGCCCCAGTTATCTTTTCCATCTGACAGGTCACTGTTCTTCAGACCCTATGCCAAATTATGTCTCTTGGAAAGTTGATTCTCCTGAAAGACTAAAATGTGTTTGTTCTAAAGCATTACTTCCCCCAAATCTCTAAGAGTGCTCTTCTTCCCACCATTCCCCCTGTAAATTCAGCAAGGTGGGAGGAAAAGAAACTTAAAGCCACTTTAAAGCTCAAGGTTTCCATTGCATACATGCTGTCTAACCAACTTGGCTCTTATTTGTTCTCTGAGACCACAGTTATTCATAAACAAATGCAGGGGTCGTTTCGTAGAAAAAGAGCTAGGGGAACTCATTAGCATAACTCATTAGCATATGCCGCACACCCCTGACATCACCGGATTTGTGTCATAAGGCCACACACCCCGCCCCCAATGGTCCCGGCTGCCGCCGGCCTTGCAGCTCCCATGAGGGGCCCGGCGGTGGACCTGCAAGGTCGGCGGGAGTGCGAGGAAGCCCCGCGAAGGCCCTCCCTGGCCCCAGGCAGGCAGGGGTGGGGAGAGGCAGGGAGGAAGCAACTTACCCTCCCTCTTCTCCTGCCTCCTCCTGGCTGAATGAGGGCCGGAAGCGGGGTGGCCAGAAGCAGGGGGCAGGGCTTCGTCATGTGCCCCGCCCCGTACCTCACCCGGGGGAACCGCGATCTCCCCCGAAATGACCTCTGAACAAATGGCTACTCTGCCAACTGCTTCAGTTTGGAATTTAGAAAGAACTGGGGTGGGGAAGAACTAGCTGTTTTCTTTTAACCAGGCTACTTAGTGGGGCATTTTGAGCTTAACCTTGGAGCACTCACAGAGTGCAAATTCAACATCCACCAAGGAAAGCAGAAAATTAAAATGACCTCTGAACAAATGGCTACTCTGCCAACTGCTTCAGTTTGGAATTTAGAAAGAACTGGGGTGGGGAAGAACTAGCTGTTTTCTTTTAACCAGGCTACTTAGTGGGGCATTTTGAGCTTAACCTTGGAGCACTCACAGAGTGCAAATTCAACATCCACCAAGGAAAGCAGAAAATTCCTGCACAAATACTTAGGTGAAGTGTCATTTCATCACACCCTCCACTTCCTGGATTGCCTCTGGCTCCGCCCAGGTTATATACCTGGAAAAAACATACAAAAAAGATGGACTGCAGTTGCTGCTAGCCTCAGTTCTGTCTTCTGCCAGCACAACTTGTTATAAAGTTATACCATGAAGAAAGTGTATACAGAGAAAAACGTTTCTTCTGTAATGAATTTAGGATTACTCAGTCTGTCTAGCCAACAGGATGCTGCACTAGATGGACCCATATGACTTTTCTTATGTTGTTAATAATGAACAACAATGATTTATAAATGGCTGGCTCTCTAGTAATCTGTTTTTGGCATGTGTGTTTCTGATACAGATGGGGACTGATAAAGGAATACCACAAAATCTCTTCAGAGATGCACCTATTTAAACCAAAAGCAATCTCTAAAACTGAAGCATGCATTTGCTTGACTGTATTTCAGAAGATAGGATCCAGCCCAAAGACATTTGAAAAAAACAGATTACATTATTACCTCTGAAAATTTACACTTCCTGGAGCAATTGCATCAAGTGGAATTATGTGTGATCTCACAGTATTTCTTAAATGTTTAAAACTGCTCTTCCGCTAGAACCTCCAAAGCAATAATCTTCAGTAACTGTCTATTTCCAGGGACACAGATTATGAAATGAAAATACTCTGGACTTCCTTGGCATAGAGTAGGGAGTTCAAGAAGATCAAATTGCATTAGCTCATGCCTTCCGGTACAGGTTAGAACTTGTATAAATTCTGAAACTTGCCTCCCCTTTAGGTATGCAGAAAGCATGAGTTCCCAAATATTCTTCTTTTGGATGCTTTTAATATATCCTGCTCTTCTTCATAAATCAGGTATTGTGTCTATATTGTATAAGCTATTTGTGTTGGTGGTTGCCTGATTAGATTTAAAGGATAATTTAGCTTGAAACTAGTAGCAGCTCAATCTAAGATTGTGAATGCAGCACACACAAAAAATAAGATTTTATCTGTCAGTACCAGGTGTTTGGTGCACAGGGGTAAAGGGATAAAAAAGTTCATCAATGGAAAAAGTACAGAGATACTTTTTTAAAAAAAATGTGTTGTGCAAGTAGTTTGAGTATACAGCTCTTGCTTAGGAAAAAAAGTCTTGATTATCAGAAAGAATACATTTGTGTTTTTTTCCCCTTTTTACTGGGAATTCTCATGGGCAAACTATTTAAATATAATATAGCTAAGACAGGTTAAAAAACAGATTTCAGAGGCTGAAATTTTTAACTGAGGAGCAGATTCACACAGATATGTGCAGAAGAGGCTTGAAAGAGGCTTGTAGCCATGTTGGTCTGAAACAGCAGCACCTTTAAGACCACCTTTAAGACCAACAAAAGTTTTATTCAAGGTCTAAGCTTTCGTGTGCAAGTGCTCTTGCACAAAAAAGCTTAAACCTTGAAGAAAACTTTGTTGGTCTTAAAGGCACTACTGAACTCAAACTTTGTTCTGAAAAATCAAGACTTATATGTCACATTTCTCTTTCTTCACTTTTGGACCTGTGTTCTGTTCTCTAGTACTTACACATGATTTACTGGGCTCTCCAAATTTCACAGGGAAATTTATGCAAAGTTTTCTGTGGAAATAGTCAATCTTCTCAGTAAAGGCATCATAAAAATTGTATGCATGCATTATGTTGTCTCATCACCTCTTTCATAGACCCACAAGCACACTCAAGTCTTACCAAAGTATTATTGCTTTGCATTTCTGGAAAATATAGAACCGTATTTTTATCTATTGCATTTTACTCATAAATGCTTTTATGTTTTGGAAAGGTGCGCAGCAAATTCGTCTTGTGAATGGATGGAACAGATGTGCCGGGAGAGTAGAGGTTTTTCATGAAGGAGACTGGGGTACAATTTGTGATGACCACTTTGGTCTGAATGAGTCACAAGTAGTATGTAATCAACTTGGTTGTGGAGTCCCAACAACTGTGCTGGGATGGTCTTATTTTGGACCAGGCTCGGGATCCATCTTGCTGGACAACGTAAAATGTGATGGAGACGAATCCTTCATATGGAACTGTTCTCACTCTGCCTGGTATGAAAATAATTGTGGACACAATGAAGATATCAGTGTCATCTGCTCAGGTAACATCTTCTGTCCGCTTTCAAACAATGCAGGACTTTTTCCATTGCAAGCAAACATCGGCTATATCAAGGTCTGGTGTTGCAATCAGGATGCCTACAAACAAAGCAATTATTGAACATGTAATACAGCTGTAATTCAAAATGTTATTCAACTGGTTGGAAAAGGTATTAAAATATTTAGATAATAAGAAGTTGGATAAACAGGAAAGTAATTTAGATGGTGTTATGGTGGCATGCAGAACAAATTAATTCGGGTAATCAGAAATGCTGAACAAGTAAGGATCAGATAACGTAGTTCCTAATATAAATAACTAATATGTTCAGTTCTGTAGATTCAAATCTTTTCCAGTTATGAAAGTTTAAAGAAATCAAGAAAGCAAACATATTTACACAATGCTCAGCGTGAGGGATTCATGCATGGGAATCTTACCATATCTGGTACTGTGCTATTACAGACTGGTTAATCTAATATCACTGTCTATTGACTGACAACTTGCTAATCACTCATAAAGGAGAACGTGTAAGCAAGAAATAGGTACTGAAACATTATGTTTCAGTAGCATGCCTAGTTATTGTACAATGCTGCTAATCAGGGTATCAGTTGTAAAACCACTCACCAACTCAGCTGAATTCCATGGGATACAGGCTCAAACTTTTGAGATGGCAAATTATCTCAGGGGCCGGCTACATGCTTAACTAAGAATTTTCCCATTAAAACATGTATGAACACAATCATTTATACAGAGGTGCAATTTAGTAGCAATACAAGTACTACTTTCTGTTTTTGAATTTACAGAAGCTGGACCTGAGCCAACAGGTAAGCTTGTTTATTTATGGAACGTCCAGAAAAATTCTGCTTATAGCATTGAATTGTCTTTTCTAAATACACAGCCAGTGAGATCCCAATCATATCAAAGGGGTAATCATCCAGAGCCCATACTTTCTTCTAGATTTGCTATCACATTTTGTACTTTTTATTCTCTGTCTGTCTTCGAACAGGTTCAGACTACATGGAAACAACCCCATCAAACTCAGAGTTAAACACAGGTATGCATCTTAAAAAATAATGAGCACAAAGAATAAAAAAGTAATGCCCACTTTAGAAAAAAAAATATATTACAGTCAGCAGCTTATTTTCAGACAACATCCAGTTCCCCAAGACAAAAGGATTGGATATAAAGTTTCCATTCCACTAACAGTGAAATCTTCCGCTAGCTCAAGAACATATCTCTTGTGCTAGAGTTGGCCCCTTGCATCAGAGGAAGAATTCATAATGGAATGGAACCCGGGATTCAACCCAATGATTTCTAGGTGTAGTCCGCACAAGTTTTGTGATCAAGGTATCTCACCTGCCAGGTAAGTATAGTCCTAGCAAGAATTTTAAACCCAAACAGATTTATGGATTCATTTATAGTATCATAGAATTACTAGATCATATATATTGTACCATTATTGGGAGTTACCTCATTTCATACCCAACCTTGGACCTGATCAGTTACAACCAGCATCATCGAAAATCTTTGGTCATGTGACACACCAGGTTCCTATATAAACCATGAAAGAAGGCCAGCTTTTAAATAATGCACATCTTGACTTAGAATTAGAGAATTAGAGACCTGGATTTATCAGATCCACTGAAAAGAAAATACACAATAGAGCAGGGCTTTTTATTGGGGGGGGGATTTTAGTTTTTGATAAAGGTCACACCACAGAATTGTTTAAAGCACATGCTTCAGTGGCGGCAGCAGTGTCAAACAAGAAGAGGCACAGGCAGAGGGCACCCAGGAGCTGGCCTAAGCAAGGTATCACTCAAGAGGAAATTGGCTGCAGCACTGCTATACTAAATAGACTGTGCCGTTGCAGACAGGATGGGTGCATTGGCCTACGTGCTGCACCAACCAGGAAGTTCACCAGCACCCTCACAAACCCCTTGAGAAATCAAGGATAGGGAGACAACCTATGCTGTATTCAGAGTCATAAAAGTGAACTGGTGGCCATTTGCCAGAAAAGATTATCTGGTAGGTCTTAAGAGTGATCAAGCAGGACCCTTTGAGCTGAATCGCTCAGGGTCCATCTTCTCACATACCCTGAACCTCAGCAGAGTAGAGGTGGAGGGAAATCTTCCCCATCTCTCAACAGTTTGTTGCAAGCCCTCACTTGTAAAAATATAGAAAGAGCTTTGTTGTATATCTTACAGACATCTTACCTGTATGTTTGGTTGGTGCAATGAATCCCTGACCTGGATAGCCCAGGCCAGGCTGATTTTGTCAGATCTTGGGAGCTAAGTAGGGTTGGCCCTGGTTAGTACTTGGATGGGAGGCCGCCAAGGAATACCAGGGTTGCTACACAGAGGCAACCAATGACAAACCACCTCTGAACGTTTCTTGCCTTGAAAACCCTCCAGGGTTCCTTTAACTCAGCTGTGACTTGACAGCACACACACTCAGAAAAGTATGTGTGTGTGTGTGTGTGTGTGTGTGTGTGTGTGTGTAAAGTGTCGTCAAGTCACAGCTGACGTATGGCAAACCTAGCAAGGGGCTTTCAAGGCAAGGGAGAAGCAGACTCTCCCTTGGTGGTCCCACGTCCAAGTACTGACCCTGCTTAGCTTTGAGATCAGACAAGACAGAGCTATACTGTGCTGCCTTCCCTCCCAGTATCTCTCAATAAACATATTTTAAATATTTATTGAAGACATTACAACATGATTTAACCTAAACGGTGCACCATCTGATCCCTTTCCCTTATGAATCTGCCTGATGTGGTGATAGCTGATACTTAGTATGTCAAGAACGCTGTTAATTCTCCAGCTTTTTATTTATTTGTTCAATTTATACCCCGCCCTCCCCGTCAAGGCAGTCTCAGGGCAGCTTCATAAAACCATCTAAAAACAATTCAATATAAAAACAATTCAATATCATAAAGTGCTAGCAGGATCCATATTAATACAATTGCTTAAAGATGGTGGTAGCATCATATTAATGTATTCGGTGGTCTGTCTTGATAGTCAGCTCATTGATCTTTCCCAAATATATGTAGCAGGCACAGGCTATAGGTGGCTAAACCAGGGGACAGAGCTCTATGTCTTCCAGTTGTTAGTGGTGGCTCTTTAATTGAAGGCCTAGTGGAAGAGCTTCATCTTACAGGCCCTGCGGAACTGTAAAAGATCCCACAGGGCCCTGATATCTTCTGGGAGCTCGTTCCACCAGTATGGAGCCACCACTGAGAAGGCCCTGGCAGTAACTAGCCTGGCGTCCTTGGGACCCGGGAGGGTCAGTCGATTTTGGGACCCTGACCGCAGTGCTCTCTGGGGAATATCTGGGAAAAGGCGGTCCCTCAGGTATCTTGGTCCCTGACCATAAAGGGCTTTAAAGGTGAGAACCAGCACCTTGAAACGGAATCAGTATGCTATCAGCAGCCAGTGCAATGCCTTCAGCACAGGCTGGATGTGTTCCCACATGGGGAGGCCCATCAAGAGCCTGGCTGCAGCATTTTGCCCTAGCTGCAGCTTCTGGATTTGCGACAAGGGCAGCCCCATGTAGAGAGTGTTACAGTAGTCCAATCTCAAGGTGACCATCGTAAGGATCACTGTTGCCAAGTTGTTGTGGTTGAGGAAGGGAACCAGCTGCCTGATCAGCTGAAGATGGTAAAAGACTGACTTGGCAGTGGCTGCTACCTCGGCCTCCATTGTTAAGGAGGCATCCAAGAGCACTCCCAAGCTCCTAACCTCCAGTGCTAGCCAATGTTCCCTCTAAGCTGTCGAGTCTTTTGAGCAAAAATTCTACTTTGTGAGCTACTGGCATTAAAGTTGTGAGCGAGCGATTGGGATACTGCATAAATTAGTTTGCTCTGGAGCCATCCTTCCTGAGCGAAGACAAAAATGTGTGAGCCAGGGGCTAAAAAACTGTGAGCTAGCTCACACTAACTCAGCTTAGAGGGAACACTGGTGCTGGCACCAACGGTGCCCCATCGAAAGTCGGGAGTGGGATCCCTACCCCCAGGCTGCCCCGGCTCAGGCACAGGACTTTCGTCTTTGTCAGATTTAAATTCAATCATCCAGCCATGGCTTGTAACTCCTGGTCTAGATCTTCCAGTCTGGAGTCAGACTGGCCACCCAACAACAGATAGAGCTGGGCGTCATCCACATACTGGGCAAAGAGGCACATATACATGTTGAATAGCATCGGGGAAAGCACTTCCCTTGAGGCACTCCACAGTTCAGTGGGTGCCTTCAGGACAGCTGATGTGGTGAATTAGAGTGGAAGTATCAACACTGGTACATTTGTGAATGGTTTGTCTTTAATTTTAAAGTCTCAGAGTTTTTCATTGCCTGTTTCCTTTCCCTCCCATTTCCCCCCCTCTATTACTCATAACACCACCTGAAAAAGTTAACTTGACATCATCTGCCACCTCTACAGTAATTGGATCCTCCACGATGTATACCATTGAACCACCTACAAGTGCTCCTGCAGGTATGAAACATTAAGAACATTTTAAAAAGAATTTACACAGAATTAACAATGATACAGGTCAAAGTACAATAAAGTAAGACAGACTGAATGGCATTCAATTAAGGATTAATTATTGAAGAAGCAACTTATATAAAATTAAAAAAGGAGTAGGCCTCTTTTTTTCAAAAAATTGAAAAAGGATACACAGGCCCTGGTCACACGAGTGGGATAATCCGCAGGGGACGGGAGGCTTTTTGAGCCGGAGCAAAAAGACGCGCAGTAGCGCAATCTCACCTTCCCCCGAGGCCCCGTGCCCAAGCTTCCAGCAGCCGATCACTCCATGCTAAGCAACAGAGCAGCAAGGCATTTGTGCGCATGCATGGGTCACCGACGAGCGCTGGCTGCAACTGGCTACCACTGCTTCCTGATCAGGCGCCCACATGCGCTGCACAACATCGTGAAACTAGTACATGGTTCACAATAGCTTTTAAATCCGCGTCTTCAGGCCGAAGCTATGGGTTAGAGACAGGAGTGCGACATTTCCCAGATGTTCAGGTATGATCATGCAGCTTTAATCCACAGGCAAGCTGTCCCTCCCACGGGGCAAATTTGCCGTGTGAACGGGGCCACAGTAGACTATATCCTCTAAGTAAACTAATAATTCTTAGCATCAGAGCATTCTAGACTTTTGTGTTTCTTCCATTATTTATGATAATTACAAAAATAGGTGTTTCTCATACAAAAAATAGGTGTTTTGTAGCATTAGTCATTAATATGAAAACAAACCAAATTCCTCATATAAACAGAGCTGATGTGGTGAATTAGAGTGGAAGTATGAACACTGGTACATTTGTGAATGGTTTGTATAAACACTTTATAATGCAAAAAGTGATTTTCTTTTGTGTTTATTGCAGCCAGTGTTTTTTTCAACACAAGGGCATAGACAGAGCAGAATGTTCCTTAGAAGGAGGGGGGAGAAAGGCTCTGGGCTTTCTTGATTGACTGCAAACAGTAGCCATTAGGATTGCATACATGTTTGAGTAGGGTTGCCAACTCTGGGCTGCAAAATTTCTGGAGATTCAGGTGGGAAGGGCTGGGTTTGTAGAGAGGAGGGGCCTTAGCTAGGTATAATGGCATGGAATCCACTCTTCAAAGCAGCCATTTTCTCCAGGGCAACTGATCACTGTAGTTTGCAGGTCAGTTGAAAGATCTCCAGGCACCACCCGGAGGCTGGCAAAAATTGTGAAGTATTCCAGTCCTGAAGGAATTCGGGTGGGACTTTGTCTTCCTCTCCCCTTCCAATGCTCCACCAAATTTTGTCTTGCACTTTGCAGCTTCCTTGCTGCTCTCCTAACTCTTCTTCATGCTACTTTCTTCATGTGGCTGTAGTGCCGTCTGTCTTACTGTTTGCAGGAAAGGTGGGATATAAGTCAAATAAAATAAAAATTAAAAAATAAATCTTACGTTTCAATGCTCAATAGACCTTAGTACTAAAAATTGGTGAAATTCATTGCCTCAAAAAGTGTATGTGGGGGGGTATCCTATCGGTCTGAAATGTAGCAATGTGAGTGTCCTCAGGAAATATCACAGTCCTGCTGAGTTTTATCCACTTTGAATGGAAAACCATGAAGACCCAAGAAAAGGGGGGGTCTCTTCCAATGAAACCAATGGGAAATAATAATGAAAATGAAAAAAACAATAATGGATGAAACAATAACAATATAGAACCATATAAAACAACTAAATAACAAAACAGACCTTCAGGGATTAATAATAAGAACAATACAGGAATAAAATAAATTCCCATGCACAAGTCTAGAGCACTTACACAGTTTGTGCACATTGTCACAGGAATCCTATCAATGACAGTGTATGGTTTGTTGTTCTCCCAGGACAGACTGGGAAGTTAAAACAGCCCAAGAAGCAAGCAAAGCTGAGTAGCCCCTGCTCCAAGACCCCACTGCAGAAATGGCCATCTTATCTGGCCTGTGGCACCAAAGATGGGGGTTGGCTAACCCATTGGATCCTCATCGCAACAAGAGGCAATGGGTCACACATTGCTGACACTGCTGGCCTGGTCTGAGCTAAGTGGCCCCTGCCATGCTGGAAGAGCTACTGGGGCTTGACCCCGTTTGCTCCTGACTTGCAGTCAAGTAGCCCACTGGGAATATTCCCTGTAAATCCACCACTATCCCTGATCCATACCACAAACTGGTCTTGAGAGGCAATGGCTTGCTTAGGACACTGAGTTTATGTGAGTTAATGGCAGAACTGGGGTTTGAAGAGATAACTTTGGGTCACAAAGTTCAGTTGCTTCGCTCCTAGGCTGATCTCTCTATTGGAGCACTCAGACATGACCCTTGGCTCTGCTTACAGAGGCAATCATGAAGATCTCTGCCCAACTAAATGTCAATCCAGCCCCTTCCTCCAAGACTCAGCATGTGTCTGAAGATTCCTTTACCATGCTCAGCACGTATGACTAAGGCAATTCATGGCACAATGGGGTTGCCAGGTCCAAATGACAAACTGGCAGGGGACTTACCGAGACACTCTGGGAGAGGGGAGGTAAGAAGCGCAATGGACCTACATCACCTACATCACCTGGAGTTGATGTAGGCATGTTGGCGATGTAGGGCGATTGTCTGGTTTGGGGGCAAAACTCTATGGTTTGAAGCTAATTCTACCATAAAGTTGAAAAGTACTGAAACTTACTAGTGATTTCAGCTCTCATACTTTATTTCAGCTCAGAACAAAGACAAATTGCCCAGCTCGCAGGCTGGTTTATATGCACAACAACCCCACACCCAAAACACACCCACACACTGGTGATTGGCTATTTACAGTGGTTGAGAGTTCCATAGGCTCTTGACTGGAAGCCTAGCCTGCTAATAGGTGCGGGCTAGGATCCACTTGTCCACTTGTCCCATTGTTCCTGCGAGCGAAGCTTGACGGCTTCGCCTGACCGCGTGGCACAATGGCCACGCATGCGGTCTGGAATGGATACATTACAAAAAGTTTCACCCAAAAACCAGAGCATCACCCCCCAAAGTCACTGATGTGCGTATGTCACTTCCAGATGATGTAGGCATGTTGTGTAACTCTCCCCCACCGGCCAGCTGGCCAGCGCCAAAGGGAGCACCAGAAACTGGGGGATCCCACATGCACTGGGGGGGGCAGGCAACCCTATGGCACAGCCATGTCATATTCCTGCCAGCAGGTTTTAGCAGGAATATTTTTTTCAATGCTCTGGCTGACTTTCTTGTGTTACAGTCCAAGAGGCCATGCTCTGCATTAATGAAGTCCTGTTTAACATCAGTTGCTATAGGACTTCTGATGGCAGTATTGGGAAAGTCTTTGTTCTCAGATCCTAGATGGATTAAAGGCGGGCATCAATTCTCCTTTTGGCTCAAAATTGGCTCATATATTACCTTACAATCAGAAGTTTCTGGTCAGGTTGGTGTGAGCCAAAGTGAGGTCAAGAGTAAGCAAGGCAAGGTTTCCTCAGATCTAAGAATGAACAGGCAGGCTACCTGAGGAGGGATCTGTTGGGTCCTGTAACCTCCCGAACTCCCTTCACTGTATTTGATCTCTTTACTTCTGAGATGCTAACCAAATCATATGAAGGAACAGACGGATTGCAGAAAAAAAGTACTGCCTCTGCGCAGAAAAGCTACAACTCAAAATATTGCACTTCAATAGAGAAGAAAAAGTGTGTTAAATTTGTAACTGGCCATACACAAGTAGAGGATTTATTAAGTATTAGGTATGCTGATTCAATGCACTGGATATTGTTAACTCCTGAGGGGAATGTGTCAGTCTCCTTGTTGAACTGATCCCTGCTAGGCCAAATATAAGACTCAAACATTAATGCAATCAGCAAAGTGGCAAGGGCCGCTTTACCAATTGCAATTTAGTAAATCCCTGCCAGATGGTTCTGCAGTGAATCCCACGTCATACGAAACAACTGCATGCAGTTTGTTTTTGCCATATAAACATGATATTCTTTGGCTGGAAGGTCTTGCCAGTGAGAGGAAGTATAAACGGATGGCAGAGATGGAAAGAGATGTGGCATGGGAAAGACTGAAGGTGAGAGAAGGGGATCCAACTATAGTTGGGAATTGGATGGGGGGTCTTAAAAGAGTACAGAAAGTGGTGGGCAGTTCATAGGAGAGCCAGGCATTGACTGACTTGTAGGAGATAGAGCAAAAGGGAGACTGAAAGAACAGAGAGAGAGAGAAGAAGGGAGAGTAAAGCAGAGAATCCAACTATATTCTGCCTGACCTACAGTGCATGCATGGTCTTCAGGGTGGTAGAGGCAAATCGGGACAAAGAAATCGAAAATTCTGGCTTGATCTGGGATATTTATCCTGTGTTACTTATGTTTTTAGAAGGGTCTCATGAATGTTGTGGTGCTCAAACGTTAACTTACCAGCAGAGGTAATACTAACCCTTGACAAGAGGCTGATCTATCATTTGTTAATATCCATGACTACAACCCAAGCTTGAAATGCTTCTTCTTGTCTTTCATTTGACATTAGATATCCCTCCATCAACTACGAAAAGGAGTGTTACAGCTGGTAGGTATAGATGCTATGAGATGTAGACAGTGCTAGTTAACCTTACAGATGACCTCCAGAGACACCTGGATTGGGGCAGATCGGTGCTGCTGTTGTTACTTGACCTGACAGCAGCGTTCGATATGGTTGATTACGATCTTATGGCCAATGTGGGGATATGTGGGACAGCCATACAGTGGTTTGTCTCCTTTCTCCACAGTCAGGGACAGAGAGTGGAGCTTGGGGAAAGAGTCTCGCCAAGTTACCCTTTGGTATGCAGCATCCTGCAAGGGGCGATTCTCTCATGTTATTTAATATCTATATGTGCCCCCTCTGGAGCTGGGCTGGAGCTTTGGGCTGGGTTACCATCAATATGCTGATGACACCCAGATATATTTATTAATGGATGGCCAACAGAACTCCATCCTGGATGCTTTGGCCAATGGGTTTGGAGGCTGTGGCTGGGTGGTTAATAAAGAACCATCTGAAACTAAATCCATCAAAGATTGAGGTCCTGTGCCTGGGTCAAGGGGGATGGAATTGGGGATCCAACTCCCAGCCCTTGGCGGGGTACTGTTAACATCAGCACCAACAGTGAAGAGCTTGGACGTGATTTTGGATGTCTCGCTATCTATGGAGGCCCAAATCACAAACGTTGCCAGATCAGCATTCCTCCATCTTCGCCAGATTAGGCAACTGGCTCCCTACCTCTCTCCCGTTGACATGGCCACAGTGATTTAAGCAATGGTAACCTCCAGGCTGGACTACTGTAACTTGCTCTATGCAGGGCTATCCTTGAGACTGATCCAGAAACGTCACCTGGTCCAGAACACAGTGGTGGGTGTCCTTACAGGAACACCACAACCAGTGCCCGACCAGATGTCCTGGCTTCCAGTTGAATACTGGGTCAAATTCAAGGTTTTAGTTTTAACCTTTAAAGCCCTATGTGGTCTGGGACCAACATACCTTCAGTACTGTCTTCCCCGGTATGTTCCTTGAAGAGCATTACACTCGATAGGTCAAGATCTGCTGGTGACACCCAGCCCTAAGGATGTTCGGTTAGCCTCAACCAGAGCCAGAGGCTTCTTGTCTCTGGTGCCAGCCTGGTGAAACAGTCTTCCTATTGAGATTCGGGCCCTGCGGGACTTAATGCAATTCTGCAGTGCCTGCAAGATGAAGATGTTCCACTAGGCATATGGTTGAGGTGGAGATCTATTTATACGGGCCTCCCCCTGCACTGCTATCGTTATCTTTTAACTGCCTGTTCTACCCACGTACTAGCTGCCATCCACATGTAAATATGTGGGGAACCTGCATGGGAGCAGATGGGGATGGACTGGTTAAACAATGCCATCTACTATGTATTGTTAATATTAATTGATCTTATTGTTACTTGGGTTTTAAGATTGTTATTTTATATGTTGAACTATGTTATTCATTGTTCTATTATAACCCTCCCTGAGCCTACTTGTGTGTGTGTGTGGGAGTGCTAGAAACCAAATAAATAAATAAATAGTAGTAGGGGGTCAAACATTAGCTTACCAGCAGATGTTCAGAGGTAATATTAACTTTGACAAGAGGTAGATCTTTCATTTCATTTGTTAATATCCATGATTATACCCCTGGCTTGAAATGTTTCTTCTTGTCTGTCTTTTAACAGTAGCTACCCCTCCATTATCTACAGAGAGGAGTGTTACAACTGGTAAATATAGATGCCACTTCTTAAAAATAAAAAATTATTCATCAGAAATTCACTATTATATATTGTTTAAATATTTATGTTGATTTCAATCTTAACTTGGTTTCCTTAATTTCCTTTCGCCAAGGTCGGGGACAGAGGGTGGCACTTGGGGGGGGCAGTTGTCTCACCAGCACTCACTTGAATGGGGTGTGCTGCAAGGAGCAATTCTCTCCCCAATGTTATTCAACATCTATATATGCCCCCTTGCCCAGATTATCCAGAGGTATTGGCTGGGTTGTCACCAGTTTGCGGATGATACCCAGCTGTATCTATGATGAACAGCCACCCAGACTCTGCTCCTGAATATCTGGACAGGGCATTACAAGCTGTGGCTGGATGGTTGCAGCATAGCCGACTGAAATTGAATCCATTGAGGACGGAGGTCCTGCACCTGGGCTGTGGGGAACTGGGGTTAGGTATCATGCTCCACTGGTGCCAAAACTGAAGGTAAAGATCCTGGGGGTGTTCCTGGATGCCTTGCTGACTATGGAGGCCCAGGTCACCACCACTGCCAGGTCTGCCTAACCTAAAGGCCTGGCCAGATCTGGGATATTTATCCTGTGTTGTCTGTCTTTGTAGGGGGCTCTTGCAATGGTGGCAGGGAGTCAAACATTAGCTTACCAGAAGATGTTAAGAAGTAATGTTAACACTGAAAATGGGTGGATCTATGGTTTCATTTGTTAATATCCATGACTATACCCCTAGCCTGAAATGTTTCTTCTTGTCTCTCTTTTAACATTAGCTACCTCTCCATCATCTACACAGAGGAGTGATACAACTGGTAAATAGAGATGCCATTTTTAAAAAAAAATTGGCAGAATTTTACTATAGATTGTATCTTGATATCATCCTTGATCCATTTTCTCATTAATATCTCGTTCAGCAAGACCCTCATCCATAAGACTGGCAGATGGAAATGGGAACTGTGAAGGCCGTGTTGAAGTCTACCACAATGGAAGCTGGGGAACCATCTGTGATGATTCTTGGGACATGCGTGAGGCTTGGGTTGTATGCAGACAGCTGAACTGTGGAGAGGCCCTTTCCTCTCCCGGAGGAGCCAGAAATGGTGAAGGCTCTGGTAGAATTTACCTGGATGAATTGCAGTGCCGGGGAAATGAAACA